GCTCTCTGATTTGCAAATGGAAGCGACCGGAGAAGAATTTGTCCATTTCTTCATAAAACTGCACCCAGCCATAACCTTCCTTCTGGAAGAAAACACCCTTGTCTACATTCTGAAGCCAAGAATAGCCTGTCTCATTGCGACGCCAAACACTCATGGCATCATCGAAATACTTGATTTTTCCTTCCACTGCATGGAGCATCATGAGCGCGTGGTCATACAGCATCCACTTTCGGAACCATGGTGGCAGGCCGTCACGGAAGCGCCATCGGAAAACAAACGAACTTGTCTGAAAATAGTAGCTGGCGATAGCCTCATCCGCATGGAAAATTCCTTGCCGTATGCGCTCATCGTCCGCCGACAAGTCCTTGTAGATATATTGTTTCTTTTCATCGGCCGGGCGGTGGTCAAATTGCATTTCCACGCGGTGGCAGCAGACCGAAAAATCAGGATTCTCCTCCAGAAATTGAATCTGTTTTTCTAGCTTGTGCGGCGATTTCCAATAATCATCACCTTCGCAGAAGGCAATATATTTGCTGCGGATATATCGCATGCCATCCAACATATTGTTGGCAGCTCGGCCATTGACCGGTTGAGGTAGATAGACTAGATTTTTGTGCCGCTCCGCCCATTGCCGTACGATTTCTGAGGTGCCGTCAGTAGAAGCATCGTCGCACACAACAAGTTCAAAAGGAAATGAAGTCTGCTGCGATAGGCAGCTTTCCATCGCCTGTTCGATATATGGAACGTGGTTGTAAGTCAACATCAGGATGCTAACCAGCGGAAATTTTGGTTCTTCCATGATGAGAATTATTTATTCTTGAATCAAACTTTCGATAGCATCTACATCGAACACAGGTATGCCAGCATGGATGGACGCATCCTCTCTTTCTATAAAGAGGTTGTCGATCAATATGGAATCTCTGCAGGTGATGTGGCTGGATTTTTTCTGGGCATCCGTGATGTGGATGATTTTGTCAAAAATTTCAGAGTGAATTCGAAATTCCTGAAGGCTCTTCAGTAAATCACCTGAATGTCGGCTAAGTAGAATAATTTGCTTTCCCTGGTTGCGCGACTGGTAGAGGAATTGCATCAGAATTGCGTTGACTTGGCCATCCACGATAAGGGTGTCGTCATAATCTACATAGATGGCGGAGAAACTAAAATCCGTCACGTAACTGCTGTGCAGTCGACGCCGCAGGGTCACTTGATAATTATTTTTC